TCTCACTTCAAGTATAAAGAATAGAACAAGAGAGAGCCCATTTTGAAAATTATGGACAATGAATCTAGATATAATCTCAAAAGATTTCACAGTCAAAAAAATAGTTCATTAGATACATGAGAACTGTCACTTGGTCTCAGTGTAGAGCTATTGCCTCAACTCCTTTTATTTTCTTAATGAAATCATCTGCTTATCACATGAAATACGTGCATATCGTACCTTGCCAATCCCACAATGCCACGTCAGAACCAGAACCTAACTCTAGGACACTACTTTCTCAAGTATCTTTCTGTCTCTTTCTGGTAATACGTTGAATTAATATTCACATCTAGTATGACTAGTCTTTGATTTGTAGGGTTGCTGAAGTAGTAACACCACTGCAGGGCTTTCTTTAAAGAAAGTAATCAGGTGTCCCTACTGTGTCATGAACCCTCAGTTGGGTTCTCCACTCTGATTTTAAAAAACAAAACAAAACGCTTCTCTATCTGAGTCTTACTCCTCTCTACTCATAAGAGGTATTCCAAACCTTTACCATTCTGAAACTTCCTAACCCACCATCTTATTTTCACTCTGCAAACAAGCTAACCTCCTTATTCATGTTTCACTCTGCAAACAAGCCTCAACTTCCTCCCCATTCTGACCTTTTTTCCCTCCCAAATCCATGTATCTCTTGTGACAAAATCTATAACCACCACTGTACATTGAGTTCTATTTCTTTATTACTTTTGAGGGACCTCGGGTCCTCAAAAATATCCTATCTTACCTGTGTACTTCACTTTTATTCTCTTCTGACTTTCCCTTCTCTTCACTTGGCACTTGCCCTTCTAGGTATGTGTGTGTTCAGGTCTCTTCCACCTTCCATCTGCCTCACTTCATGGCATAGGGCCTTGAACTATCACAACCAAGTTATGAAAGAGTAGTCAACACAGTGTCCTCACTTCCTTGCCACCCCTTCTCCTAGTTTTTCTTTTGACTGTCTGAGGAGTCCTTCACAGGCTGTTTTTCAGGAATAAGTCTAAATGAATTACTTTCAGTTTTCCTAAATGTCTATGCCTTTGCACATCCTCTGCCTCTGCCTAGAATATCTTTCTCCTGCTTTTCCATCTTTAAACTCACATCATTCTTCAAGACTGGGATCAGCTCTTAGCGTCCAGGAAGCCTTTGCCTACTAGAGACAAATGAGAATGAGTTTTGTCCCCTTTTCATTTTCTTGTATCATTCTACACTTTATTTTGCTCTTCTAAGAGCATTACATGCCTCATTTAATCCCTAAACAACTGTTTGAGGCAAGTACAGTTATTATCCTAATCACGCAAATGAGAAAACAGAGGCCCAGACATGTTGAGTAACTTTGTTAAAAGTTAACCAATAAGTGGAACAGCTGAGGTTTGAACCCTGGCAGTCTGACTCTAGAGATATTATGTTTGACCTACTTCCCCCTACCCCCACCCCATGTCTGCCCTTAGCGTCTGAGCTTGCTGAATGAATGAACAGGTAGTAGTCTTTTTTTGTTATAAGACTGATCAGAATTAAGACAGGTTTAAATTTCACAGTATAGATTTTCAAAACTGCCAAGGCATTGCAAATCTAAAAAAGAATGGCATTCTCAGGAAAGAGGAAAAGTAAGTGTGAGAATAATAATAACAATAACCAACAAACTTTAGTAAATTCTAGTAAATGTAGTAAATTTTTACATTAAAAGCTTTTGGACATACATTATCATATTTTATGACCACATGAAATATATTATAATCTCATTTTGCACATGGGAAATCTGAGGCTGGCATAAGGAGCACCAAGATCCAGGACTGTATATTTTCATTCTTCTAGGGGTTTGCAACTCAGGTCGATATGTATGAGTAAACTGGGAGCGTGGTGGGTTCTTTAATAGAAAAACTAGGAAAGTTTTCCCACTATTATTAACTATTTACATAAGATTTATAATAGATAATGGACTTCAATTTCTAGAGCAAAAGGGCCCCACCCAAGGAGGCCATAATCCTTCCAGTGCTCTACTGCAAGGTAAGAGAGTGTATACATATCTAAAACTTGTTCTTGGTATTTCCAAAGCAGTCAACTTTTACACCTGTATATGATGCATCCAAATGTTGTTTTTTGTATGGTTGCATCTCCCATCTTCTTCACCAATAGCTATACATGTATTTCAGAAGAGCTGAAAGAGTTCTTGATGTAGAAATCCATGGTAGAGTTTCAGAGAAATCCCTGAATTCCCTGAAAGTTTTATCTAGAAATACATGTGAAGGTGAACACATCTTTTTAAAAAAATCATTACATACTTTATTTTTTGAGAAGAAGGTATTTCAACAGCCTCTTGAAGGAGCGTACTCTTCCCACTCTCCCACCCCCATTAAGAACCATTGTAGGACGGGCATGATGGCTCAGGCCTGTAATCCCAGCACTTTGGGAGGCCGAGGTGAGTGGATCACCTGAGGTCAGGAATTCGAGACCAGCCTGGCCAACATAGTGAAATCCCGTCTCTACTAATAATACAAAAATTAGCTGGGTGTGGTGGCATGCGCCTCTAATCCCAGCTACTCTACTCGGGAAGCTGAGGCAGGAGAATCGCTTGAACGCGGGAGGTGGAGGTTGCAGTGAGCTGAGATCCTGCCATTGCACTCCAGCCTGGGCAACAGAGCGAAACTCCATCTCAAAACACAAACAAAAAAACCATTGTATTAGTGATGGAAATGTGTTCCCTCCCTCCCAACCTGGCAACCACTCTTTCTTCCTCCTCCATCATAAAATACCTTAAGCTAAACTAAACGAATTTTATTTATCGATAGTTTGAATTTTCCATATCATTGCTACACAGCTAAATGAGAGGTACTCTGAGGAAAATATAAATGGCACAGTAAAGCATTGTAGATTTTAATAACATACTTGACATCCCAAATTGTTTCCATTGGCTTCATTTTAAAAACTACGTGTTTTAACATCAAGCAGACACTAAAAGTACAAGATATACTGGGTCTACAAGGTTTAAGTCAACCAGGGATTGAAATATAACTTTTAAACAGAGCTGGATTATCCAGTAGGTAGGTTAAGCATGTGCTTAAGGCATCAGCAAAGTCTGAGCAATCCATTTTTTAAAAACGTAATATATGTTTTTGAAAAGCTTAAAAAGTAATAGTCACAGGAAAAATTAGAACTTTTACCTCCTTGCATTTGTTATACTCTTTAGTGCTGTTTAACTTTTCTTTATAAGTGAGGGTGGTGGAGGGGCCCATAATCTTTTCCGGGAGTAAGGTCTTCTTGATCTTTTTTTTTTGAGACCGAGTTTCGCTCTTGTCTCCCAGGCTGGAGTGCAATGGCGCGATCTTGGCTCACTGCAACCTGCGCCTCCTCCTAGGTTCAAGTGATTCTCCTACATCAGCCTCCCAGTAGCTGGGATCACAGGCATGCGCCACCAAGCCCAGCTAATTTTGTATTTTTTAGTAGAGACAGGGTTTCGCCATGTTGGTCAGGCTTGTCTCGAACTCCTGACCTCAGGTGATCCTCCTGTCTCAG